GGGGGGGGGGGGGGGTTAAGTCTCAGACTGAAGACAACTACAAGACTTATCTCTGTCACACAGCTTCTGGCCGAGCCATCCGACTGCTGGTTTATCTGCACTGGCACACACCCTCTCACTGGGGAAGTGTCACTCCGCCGCCCCCCTCCCACCTCCTCATTCCTGCTGACTCCCTGCTTACCCTCTCGTCTTTCGCCTCCTCGCCTCAACCCTTTCTGGAGGCCAGTAGTTTATAGTCATGGAGCAGACGGCAGTCACACACCAGTAAGTGTTGTTTTTTTTTTTTTGTCCCTACCATCACTGATCACAATGGAATTGAAGCAAACAGCTCACTTATCGTATTCTGCTTTTTTTATGCTGCTGTGTCTCTTCTGAATCTTTTTCTTCTTTTCTTTTGTCTCTATGATAAATGATAACAGGAACATTTCTTTCATCTATTGTTGCTGCAGCTCCTGCTTTTGCGCTCCTTTCTGCTAAATTTTAAACTTATCCTGCCGTCACTGCAATTTGCTGTTATTAAAGTGTTGCTGAGGGCCTAAAACAGTCAAGTGAAGGAATAAATGCTGTATTGCATCCAGTGCTAGGATAATATTAGTAGGATACTGGTGTAATTGTGGTGGCGTGCTGCTAATATTTCATAGAGGCCAGCTGAGTACAAAACATGCTGCTCTGGGAAAATGAGCTCAATGAATACAATTAATTAAATTCCTGCTTACAGAAGAGCAAAACAGAGACTCATTCGCTAATTTGAGACTTTCATTTAACATTGAGCCTGCAGTTGAGTGTCAGTGGCCCGTTAGAGGCTTGACAAGCCGTGGTGAATTTATCAACCATCTATATAAAGACCGATTCATTAAAAATCTAATTTCAGACCAGAACTGTCCATCACCAATCCCTCACCATCAGCGTTTGAAGAGGAGGAAGTGGGGGGCTTCACAGCAGGAAGTGAAGATAACTGGAGGTCATGCAATGTCCTTGCAGTGACAGACCCAGTACTCACGCAACCCGGCCTCGGCGTCACCACGACAACCGTCACCACCATCACACAGACGGGAGGAGACTGGAGCACTGGCCTGTTTAACGTCTGTGGAGACAAGACTACATGTATGAAAACATAGTCAGATACTTTATCCTCATAAGCAGAGTGCTCTCACACACCAAACAGAACTTGATGCCTCTCTTATTCTTTGTATGATGTTTTTAATTTGATGTTTCTACAAAATGAATTGTATGTAATAACCCGTAAATCATCATTCAATTATTCTTAGTCTCGCATCTGAGAGAAAAATAGAATTGGGATTTTTGTCTGTTACATGCAAACACATTACACACACACACACACACACACACACACACACACATTGTTCTAACTTGTGATGTGTTTGCAGGTATTCTCGGAGCTCTGGTGCCGTGCTGTTTGGACCTGAGTTTAGCTCACCAGTATGGTGAGTGTCTGTGCATGCCTCTGCTACCAGGATCCACTTTTGCCATACGAGTTGGGATCAGGGAGCGGTACAAGATACGGGTGAGTGTGTGTATTCAC